TAATCATATATGAGATAATATTTTTATTTTTATATATGTAAATTATGTATACATATATATATATATATATATATATATATAAATTAATTAAAAATATAATTATATTGAATAATTTAATTATATATTAATAAATAATAATGAATCATTTTATATATATATATACACATACACACACCACACTATTTAATTCAAAGTAAAAATTCATGTATAATAACTGCGTACATAATCTGAAAATAAATTCATAATAAAACAAAATTTGAATTTGAAAAAAATCTGAAAAATAAACAGATTTATGTAGATTGCAACTTCTTTTTGTCTCTAATCCTATTATAGTATTTTTCGCAAACACTTGTTTAAATGATATAAAAACGTATTTATGAAATACTTATTTATGAAATGTATTTATGAAAGTGATTTTCCTTTCTATTACTAATAATAGAAATGCAAACACTATAATCCGTTTACATAATGTTTGCATGTTTTGTTTGACAGTTCTAGCTTTTTTTATTATTATGCAGAAAGAGCAAACTAATAAATAACTTCATGCGCTCAGGCACTCTCAACACCGTCAAAATAAATGTCCCTCACACCATCATAATATCCGCCAATGACATAATTAAAAAATGCAAAATAACGGCAGATATATTGGTTGACTATTATAATAGTATATAAAATATGCTTCGTTTTTTTGGTGTAATTTGCTACAAAAATTATGCCTTTAAATTCATACTATTTCAAGGCAACTGAAAGACTATTTATGAAATAATAGTACAAAAAAAAAAAAAGTCATTGAAAGCACTCATTTTATCAACCCATTATCAACCATGACACCTCAACACAAGTTGTGTTGCACAACTAGTGCACCAAGACTCCCAGAAGTTGCTTATATGCAGAAGTTTTTTATGCATATTTTTTTAACAGTCCTTTAATATCAAACACAAAGTTGGACACAAATTTGCACACAAGTGACTTACAAACAGACTGAGAAAGGCCAGCGCCATGATGGAGGTTACGAGCCTAATCGAGGTGACTCTCTAATGAGCACGCTCTCTCTGGGATGGCAAGGGACCAATGGAGATCAGGTCACAGGTCAAAAGTGCAAGACAGAGCTGAGAGCTGTCATTTACACACTGGTTGGAGTCACATCCGAGATCTCGCTATGTTTATACGCTCTGTCTGGCAGCAGCCAATTAATGTATACCTGTAGCAATCGAGAGCTAGACGAAATTGTGTGATATCTGCTGCTCTGAGAGCGTGCCGTAAGCGTGTATGTCTACCTGGACAGGTTTCTTGCGCGAGCCCTCGTTGTTTTCCGCCTCCTCGTGTTCTTTGCTGCCCTGGGGCAGGTTTGAGTAGTTGGCAAGACTGCTGAGAAGAGACGATACCATGGGAATTGTGTCCATCTCCTCCTGTAGAGTAAACACACACACATACAGAACAAATATTGTAAGCATTAAATAATTCAAGTAGCTTGTGAAGAACATCTAAAATGTCATGTTTACATGTACAGATTACAAACGACTAGCTCAGAGGACAATTTTTGCTCAGAATTTGCTCTTTAATAGCTCATGAGACCCTCAGTTGTGTTTCGTTTTCATGTTTAGTTTAATATGTCATAATATTCGTACATATTCAGAAAAAAATAAAAAAATAAAAACAGAAACAATCAAATCACAATAGGAGTAAAGAGCTATAAAATGGCTGCATATATCAGCTCAGATAATTTGATCTAGTGAGAATGTGATAAGAAGATGCGTACTGTGCACTGTTGCACGTCGCAGAAATTGAATTCACAGTTATGCATTTGGCAGATGCTTTTATCCAAAGCGACCTGTATTGCATTTAAGATATACAGTTCATGCATTCCCTAGGAATCAAACCCATATTGCTAGCACCGTGCTCTACTGTTTGAGCTACTGGAAATGCCATTAGTTTACATGGTCCTTCTAGTAAAACAGTATAGTAGTAAAGACGCCAGTAAACTGGGAAGCGATGCATACAGGTCTCACATGTGGAGTGTTTAAGATGACCTGTAACTGTACAGGTGAAATGGCTTACACTGCCGGTGTGTTCATTCACATGGGATCTTGGATCAGAGGACACCTATTTTTAGGGCCTGGATGACAGGGTTCGAGTGGTGACTCCCTCACACAACAGGAGAGAAATTTTAACGAGGTGTGCTGCACAGACAATGTTTTATAAAGCCTCAAGTCTCAAAAGTCTACAGCCCAATGTACCGTGTTCATCTGAAGGAATTTTCTGTATTGATTATTCTCATGTGCTTTACCTGAAATTGTACTCGACCGTGTCTTTTGAATTACACATTGCATTGTAGAGTTAAAGGAGTTTAATGGAAATTAATTTGGAAAAGGTACTGGTAATTTTCTGCTAGGACATTACACTGTGAAACTAATTTTTTGTTTAGTTTTGCTTTTATTTTTAATGTTTCTTTATGAAGTTTTACATGCTGAATATGAAGATCCCATTACTTATTGTGTATCATTTACAGTGCTCATGAAAGCATAAACAGTCACCAAAAGTGAGTCACCCAAAATTTCAAAAGTGTACATTGGATGATTTGAGTCTTTTATGACTAGACCCACAATGTTCTGGAATGTCCCAAAAAGCACTAGAATATTCTAGATTATTCCAGAATGTTACAGGAACTTCTAATGTTCACATCCTTGCAAAAGCAAAATATCTAAAAAAAAAAAACATGCAAAATTAGAACAAAAACGTATCTGTACTAAACCAATGTTTCATAATTAACGATAAAGTTCTAAAATGTACCTGACTTTAATATTTACCAAAATGTTGATGCTACTTGAAAATAAGTAGTACAATAATAATTAGCACCACAGAAGAACCGTTGTTTTTACATTGTATCTATTTATCGTTCCCAATATTTGGCATGACATTTCAAAATGTCTCACTTTCAACATTTGATATGTTATCTATATTCTATTGTGAATAAAATATAAGTTTATGAGATTTGTAAATTATTCCATTCCTTTTTTACTCACAATTTGTACAGTGTCCCAACTTTTTTGGAATTGGGTTTGTATATTTCTATCTATTGCTGTCTCTGTTTTGAAGTTATTTTTAATCAAAGTACAAAATGTTAATTAACAGGTTTAAAAGCACAAGTATTTCCAATTAGTATCTGTAAATGCTGGAATTACTTCATGTAAAACAAGTCTGAATATGGCTATAGACTTTCATTTTAAAGGCAAAACCATAACTCCATTCTAATATTTAAAGTTAGAGAACATATTTTGCTTTACAATGATAAAATACCATAAAATCATCTAATTGTGCATTTTAATATTCAAACTTGGGTTGTTGCGTTTGTTTACCAGATACATTAACACCAATGGCGTTTTATGTGTTTTTATTTTTTGTTACTATCTTTGTGCCATGTTGTTGTAATTATTTGTGATGGTCAACCCCTGGGTACATATTACAGGGGAAAAAATATACATTCCCTCAGGCCCGTGGCCTTACAGACTGTCACTGTAATGGAAGCACAAGTCCGTGGTACGGTGTGATTTAGCTCAATGCAGCGTGACAGACTGACAGCCATACTGAAATGCTCCAGAGGCTGAAGCATCAATCAAGCGATGACAGCAGGCAGCCGCTACATCGCAGTCAGAGCAAGGAGATCAGCTGTCAGTTCGCACACTGGGAATGACCACTGTAGAAATCAGACTAGAATTGGATGACTAACATGTAATCAGGATTTTGATTTTTCTATGTAGTGTAGAGGTTAGAGAAGCTGCCTTTATGAAATATCACAATGCCAGATAAAAGGCTTAAATGGAAAATGCTTCAGATGCTTCAGTTTTGCATTTTATGATGAGAAATACCTGTGCAGAACAAATGAATACTGTTGAAAGCTTTAATGATATCACCCAGACACGAACACATACAACAGTAGAAAAAAAACCCTGATCTAAATGTCACGATAATCCAGTAATGTTAAACTCTAGATGGATGGATGAATGATAAACACAATGATATAACAATGGATGGATGGATGGACAGAACAATAAATAGTATGAAAGATAGAACAACAGAATGGTGGATGGATGGATAGATGTATAGACAGAAGGATGGATAGATAGAATGATGGATGGAAGAATGGATAGAACAATAGATACTGTAGAATGATAGATATCATGATAGAACGATGGATGGCTGGCTGGATGGATGGATGGATGGATGGATAGATAGATAGATAGATAGATAGATAGATAGATAGATAGATAGATAGATAGATAGATAGATAGATAAACAGAATGATATAACAATGGATGTATGGATGGATGGACAGAACAATAAATAGTATGAAAGATAGAACAACAGAATGGTGGATGGATGGATAGATGTATAGACAGAAGGATGGATAGATAGAATGATGGATGGAAGAATGGATAGAACAATAGATACTGTAGAATGATAGATATCATGATAGAACGATGGATGGCTGGCTGGATGGATGGATGGATGGATGGATAGATAGATAGATAGATAGATAGATAGATAGATAGATAGATAGATAGATAGATAGATAGATAGATAAACAGAATGATATAACAATGGATGTATGGATGGATGGACAGAACAATAAATAGTATGAAAGATAGAACAACAGAATGGTGGATGGATGGATGGATGGATGGACAGAAAAATAAATAGTATGAAAGATAGAACAACAGAATGGTGGATGGATGGATAGATGGACAGATAGATAGATCTAGATAGAGCTTCCTAGCATGAGTTTCATGAACTTGTGTGTAACAGAAAGGGACTCGTTGTCAGCTTTAATATTTCTTCCAACACAGTCCACTCAGTGACATCGCTGTGCCGTCTGGAAACAGATGATTAAATCCAGAAAATAACACTTCGTTTGGTCATGTTTGCTGGCTTTTTCTGAAAAAGAACTGACACTTGGGAGTGTGTCAAAAAATAACAGACAAAGTGAAGTAACATCAGAGTTCAGCGCCCAGCCCTGTCTGACAGAATGAAGACCCTCTGCTATGATGGAGTTGTCGAACAGTCAAATCTGCTCTTTCATTGGCTCAAATATTGTGACACATTGTCAGGGATTCATCAGTGTTAGCTACACGGGACAATGTTTCACAGGGGCCTATAAATAGAAACGACTGGCAAAAACTCAAAGCAGTCTGAGGCTCAGACATCGCACAGACCGCACACACACAAAAATAGCAAGAGATTTCACAAAAACCTCAGTCTGATTGCTTGGCTTCATGCAATTTCATAGTGCAGTTTTTGTTTTTGTTTGGTTTTTAGTTTTTTTTGCCAATTTCCAGGTCTGAGACACTAGACAATATTTACAGCATCATACTTTTTTCATACCCAAAGCAGCTTACGATGCATTCAAACTAGCATGTACTTTAGTGTTGAACGCACCATGTGCTAACATCTACAGAATCTGACAAGACCATAGACAGAAGATCAAAAATGATGGTGAAACAACTTGTCGTTCCAAACCATTTTTTACCTTCTTTTTTTTTTGTAGCACAGAAGAGAGAAAGTTATACAGGTATATACAGTTGATACAAGCTTCGGAGCTTCCGTGTTGAGCGTAACATGACTACATTCTCGTATTTGGATTACCCGAGTTTGTTTTATTGAACCTTTTGATTGTGGACAACTGTTTGAACCTTTTTCATCATCTTCCTCTGAACCTAATTGTGCCTAAAATATAAAAATATAAATTTTAAATGTAACCGTATAACTATCTAATATTTAATTATGTTATTATACTTTAAAATATATAAAATGTATTAATTTATTTCAAATTCAAAATTAAATGTTTTTTTTTAATTATTAAAATTTATATTTATATTGTTTTAAGATATAATTAAAGGATTTAATTTAAAATGTTTTTTTTTAATTATTGAAATTAATATTTATATTGTTTTAAGATATGATTAAAGGATTTAATTTAATTCAATATCAATTTAAAATTGTGGTGGTGTAAACTGCGAGTCACACAATTAATTAATGTTAATACTGCAAAATGTATGTGAAGGAATCAAAATGCCTTGAGCATGTAGCCTAAAACATAAAAATATTATTTTAAATATAATAAATATAAACTATGTCTCATATTAATTTAAACATATTCATTTAATTTGATTAAATGCATACAAAAAACATTTAACTATTATTTATATGATTTATTATTTTAAATTATTATCAAATTAATTACATTTTAAATTGTAGTGGTGTTCAGCTGCACTCATCTCATAAATATGATCACTTCATGATTTTTTTAATTATTATTAAAACTGTAAAAATTGTGGTTGTGTTCAAATGCACTCATCTCATTAATACGATCACTTTAAAGCAGAAAAGGCTGCAAAATAAGCTGTATACTGCC